TCATAGAAGATCTACATGGCAATAAAATTGACTTTCTATTCTACCAATTAAATCTATCTAAAATTTTACCCGTCACATCGTAAATATAATAATTTCTATTAGATGTTTTAAACAAATGTAAAACTTGTTCTTTGCAAAAATATTCTTAAAATCTTCTGATAAACTACAAAAGTATAATGAAAGATATAAAGATTAATATAATATGACTTAGAATTATCTTTTTAATAAATATATGCCTTAATTGTTTTTTCTGATCTGATATATTAATTTCTTTATAGGAACTTGCAGACTTGATGCTATTGTTCATTTCAAATATTTCTAAAGTATTATAAATATTAAAACTAATACTTACATCTTTCTTTCTACTATTTGTATCAATTCTTTACTTATTTGCTTTTGATTTTAAAGGGATTAATGAAACAGTATATGCATCTTTTCAGTGGTGATAAAGATTCTGTAAAACCTTCTTCAATTCTGTATCAGTATATTGGAATTATCATCAAGTACTCTCTTTATAGCTGGAATGATATTTTATAATACATCTTTTTTGATGTCAATCTAACAACTTTTATGATCAATTTTTAAAGATTTATCTAAACTCTCTAGAATTTGAATGACATTATCCTATAATTGATAAAAAACGTTAAGCATATTTAGTTTATAAACATTAAAAAATGCTTGCTTAAATATTAAAATATAAATACAAAATAAAGTTATTATACTAACCTGGAAAGTCTTTTTATATTTACCATTTATAGGTTCCAAATTGTTCTGAACTTTTTTGGATTTATTAACTACTAAAAGATTGGGAGACAAGGAACATCATATTCTTGTTTGATTATTCTGAGAAATTTCCTTTTTGTAATGAAATTCTCTCACTTCTTTTATCAATTCTGAGACAGCTGAACATAATTCTATGATTTCTAATTTAAAATTAGTAAGCTATCAATTCTTTTTAATATTTAGTTTTTTATTGTAAAATTACTTTCTTGATTCCTAATTTTGATACTTTCATTTCTTTTTCTAAGATCTTAATAATATTCTTCATTTACGCTTCTTTCTTATTGTTATTTATTATCTTTCTTTTCTAATAAAGCAGATCTTTTTGATAAAGAAGGTAAATGTAAAGTTTGGCTTCTATCTCTTTCATATAATGATTTTTTCTTTTCATGTAAATCCTCTCTATATAATAAGCTTTTTCTACTTCGATAAATAGAATCTTTTCTAGATTTTTGAATACTAATAAAATAAATAAGTATTTTTTATAAAGAAAAAAAAACCTGTATTTAGAATTCATGATAATAATTAGGTGTGATCATGTGAAAGAAAAGAAAAAAAAATCTGTTATAATATAATTAGAGCAATATCTATAGTATATATATATTTTGAAAAGTTTAACCATATTTAGTATTAAATCAAATAAACTATAATTATATTAAATAAACTTTAAACTTTCAAAAAGTTTAACTATATTTAGTATTAAATACATCGTTAAAATATTTTTCTAAAAAAAATTCAAAATATTTTTTTCATTCGTATTAAATATATTCAATAATAAAAAAAATAAAAAATCTTCGTATGTTCATCTCCTTTGAATTTGCAAATCTGAACTATATTACTGTTAGACTTGTAAAGGAAAATTAGTAGATCTTAGAACTAAAGTAGCCTATGCTAAAAATAAACCATACCTCAAAGAGAAACTACTGGTTTTTCTGAAATAGAAGAAAGTCAGCCTGTTGATTTGATGTCTTCTTTGGAAAATCTTATAGATGTAAATTATGATGAGAAATTACAAGAATGCTATCAAATTTTTAGTAAAAAGAATTCCAATAGCTTTTCAAAATAGCAGAATGTTAATTTCGCTTTCAAAAGAAGCAGTAAGTAATATATTTTTTGATAATAATGGTGATAACAGTAATGATGACGATGATGCATCTGAAAAAGACAATGAAAGAGAAAGAGAATTTGAAGATGAGTATTTAATAGATAATTCAGAAGAAAATTATCAAGTAAATTTTGATGCTCTAGAAATAGAATTAAATGAAAATGATTTCAAAAATACTGAAAAAGAATTTAATAACATTTCATGGATTATTGTATGGATCTTGAAATATCAAAAAAGATTTTGATTATCTAATGTGACCATAGATTCTCTCTTTAAGTTTTTCCATTATATTCTTGTAAATATAGACAAAACCTTATTTTTCACCTTTCCTATAACACTTTATATAACGCAAAAAAAACTTGGATTTTGTATTTATTTAATAAAATATACAGCTTGTTATAAATGTTATAAACTATATAATATTGATAATATATCTAGTAATAAATCTACTATTACGCCTAAAATTACAGAATGCATATATTAGAATTTTCTTAACTACCTAATGAGTTATAAAAGAAATTCTTGTGGGGTCCCTTTATATAAAATATCTATACAAAAAATGGTGTAATCAAAAAGCCAGCCTTGATATTTTCTACAATTAGCTTAAAACATCAATTGAATCTATTGTTTAAGTGAAAAGGATTTGAAGAATCATGCCATAAATGGGTTAACCATCCTTCTGATCTAGAAATTATAGCTGACATATATAATGAAAGAGTATAAAAATCTTTTAAAGATGAAGATGGTTTGCAATTTTTTCACCTAGAATTATCAGATTCTCATCTTAGAATAATGCTTAACATAGACTGGTTTCAGCCTTTTAAAAATTCACAATTTAGTACTGGAGCAATCTATGCTATTCTTTGCAATTATCCTGAAATGAAAGATTTAAACCTGCAAATATAATAACTTTAGCAATAATACTAAGTCCAAATGAATCAAAATTGCATAAATTAAATTATTACTTAGCTCCTTTAATCGATTAGTTAATTGAATTATGGCATAATATAGAATTATCAAAGACATTTGAATATCCTAATGGAAGAATAATTAAAGGTGCTATTATATGCTGTTCTTGTGATATATCACTGTAAAAAAGCTTTGTGAATATATATCTGTAAAAGCTGCATATTACTGATATCTTAAACATACTAATTATGATGGAGTCCAATTGAATTTTAGCAGATTTTCTGATATAGATAACTGGTTTATAGAAAGAGATGTAGAAGAAATTAAAAATAATGCTTTTGCATAGAAAAATTGCAAAACAGCAAAGCAATGTCAAGACTATATATTAGAAACTTTAGTACAATAATCTGAAATACATTGTTTACCTTATTTTAATCCTGTACATTTTCTTGTTATAGATCCAATGCACTGTCTTTTTTTTAGAATTGCTAAATAGATCATAATGAAACTATGGATTGAAGAAGGAAAGTTGACATCATAAAATCTCTTATTAATGTAAAATAGGGCTAATAAAATTAAGGTACCAGTGGATATTAGTAGAATTCCAAATAGGATATTAATGAGTAAAGGTTTTTTGGATTTTCTGCAAATCAGTGGAAAACATTTATGTTAATATATGCCACTACTATTACTTGGAACCTTTAAAAGAATCTAACTGAAGGATTTTAGTGAATTTTGTTTGTGTTTATAAAATTTTAGTATATTGAATAATATTAAAAATAGTCTTATAGAAGCTCATAAATATTTGGTAGTATTAGTAAAAGAAATAGAAAAAACTTACAGCTCTAAGAAAATATCTCCTAATTTACACTTATGTTTACATTTATGTGAATGCTCATTGGATTATAGACTGTTGTATGCTACTGAATGAAATGAATGAATGGCTTGTTAGGTAATTATATAATCATAATAAATTATGCTAATAAATTTTATTAGCGATAGCATATTTATTAATAATATTTCAAATTTTTTTAGGATCATTTTATAACAATCATAGAAATATTGAATAAGAGCTTATGAAAATTATTCAAAATAATGCTCTTTTGGATAAATTAATATCTTATGTTGAACAAAATTAATACTTTTAAGAAAGTATTAAATACTGAAACTAAAAGATTTGATTGGAAGTCTTTCTATATATGATAAATATACTGATGAAGAATATCAAATATTCCATTTATTATCTGCAAAAATAGAAGAAGGAGCAGCTTTCAGTTCTGAACTATTTTCAGGATCTTTTTTAAGACCGTTAAAAAAAATGTATTATTGCAAAAGGATCTTTAGTTTTTATTAGCTAATTTTTATTGTAATACATACAATAACAATTTTGTTACTTTAACATATATTCATAATACTTTAGATGATTCTATTCCTATTTTTTCTAATATTAATCAATATAGGCAATTAAGAATTGGAATAGAAATATTTGGATCTACATTATCGTCATGACATGCTAAATCTGTAAAAATTTTAGTTCAATTTTTTTTAGACAATGATAACAATACTGACATATATCCTGACCAAATTTAATTTTTCTTTGAACACACAATTTATGAAAAAACACATTATTTAACATTTGTAAAGTGGTATAAACCAACTAAAAATCATAAAAATCAGAATTCTATAAAATGGGAAGAGATTGTATAATTCCTATACATAATATTTTATGTTAATTTGTTTCAGCAAATTTTAAAGTTGAGAAAAGAACATATATCAGTTATTCCAATAAATAGAAGATTTTATATTTAGTATAATATTTCTTTAATATCTAAAAGGTGGTGACAGTGTCACAAGCATGCCCAATTTCTGTTATGTATATTTTATAATACTTGAATATATCCTTTAGAAGTTTAGCAGAAGTTATGACCTAATATGTTAAGCAAACTGATTAGCAATGTAATATTTCCTTAGATAATAAAAGTGTATATTAGAGAAACTTAGTATTATATTTGTTGTATATTTGTTAATATGATATATTTTTATTTATTATTATATAATACTATAATATATTATAATTAAACTTTATATTTTTTGATCGTATTAATATCAGCATAGTAAATCGTAATATTATATAATAATATCGAATACTCAATAAAGCCTAATTATTTGGTATTCAATTATTACACTCATCAGATTACTTGATGATATTATGAAATTTACCTGATTTTTCTCTGCAAATATTAGGTTTTGTAAGTCATATATCATATAATTATCATATGATATTAAGTATATCAATTCTTAATTGATATACTTATTAACTATCAGACAAATATCAGTTCCTAATCTATCCTGATAATTGCCTGATAGATAATATACCAATACTTCATTATTCAACCTGTGTTATTTATAAATGATACATTATCTAATCATTAAATATTTTATAAAGAAATATTATATTAATATTTAAGTCTTATAAGAATTATAGAATATATACAAATAATTGCTTTAGCCTTCATTAAATATATATATATAAATTAGATTTATAAATAATAAAAACTAAAAAGAAACTAATAAAAAATTAGTAAAAATATTAAATATATTTGATATCTTATATTTTAATAAAATGTATTCTTTATTTCTAATTTTACTTTTAACTTAATTTTAATTAAATTTGCTTTGAGTAATTGTAATACTTTTTAATTTGATAAAAGATTTTCAATATACTTCTTATTACATTGATAATATTACTAAGAATTTTACTTGTATTCTTTAGTAAAAAGAATAGCAAAAATATATTTGACAGTATGTATAAACTTTATTTTAATATATATTTTTTTTATTATTTATAAGATCAATTTTAATAATAACATTTATATTATTTAATTAATATTTAATGTATTCTTTTTTTGTATTAGTATATGCTTTAATTTAACTTGATATGCTCTTGATATACTGAAATAATATGACATCATTAAGATAGTTATATTTTTGCTAAATTGTATTAAAAAATATATTGCAAGTAATATTTATTTTATTACAAAATATTTGATCTTTTTCTTTATCTTTTCCCTTAATATTGCTTATATATTTTTAATAGAATTCAAGTCTAAACTATATAAAGGTCAAAAAAGAATTTGTCTTGAAAGATGTTTTTTTAAGTTCTTCTAAATATTATATAAGATATATTTTGAGTTATTATTTGTTAGAAGACCTAGCTGTGACTGTATAATATATTTACATTATTATATAGATGATCATCTAAAATTTTTTAATACAAATAATAATTCAAATTTTAGTAAATAAATGGATATTAATTTTTTTAGCACTAATTATTACTCAAATATAAACCTTAAATAAGTGCTTTATTATAAGGATAATTAGTTATATATTATGAAACTATATAAATATAGTATTTCTAAACATCTGAAATATTGTTTATCAGAAAAAACAATTTTTCTAATTATGATACGAATGTTTATATGCTTAAAATAAATAAAAATACTTCATTATTTAGGTCAAAAGAGAAATCTTTTTTGAAAGAATAAAAATATATTCAAGATTTTTGAGTTCATAATATATTATACATTTACTAAAATTAAGGTTAAATCTTTTTCTTCTAATTTTATCTTAAGTTTGTCTGCTATAGTAAAATGATTATATTGTAAGATTTTTTTAATATATTAATATTAATTTTTTTAAATGCCCAAAAGAGTGACTAATAGAAATTTTACTAGTTTTATTTAATAAACTGATATATCATTCATATATATACAAAAAAATGTATAATTATTTTTGTATTATATACTTTTTGGTTTCAATATGACTTAATAGAATTATTTTTTTCTTAAAAACTTAACATAGTTTTAAAAAGAAAATTGAAATAAAAATAAATAACAAACTTTATTTTTAATTTACTATTTTAATTCAGGTTCCAATATCTGATTTAGGCATATAAACAAATACTTAAATCTAAAAAGTAATAAAATCACAGTCTAAAAATAAATGTGATCTTTCATCACTATTCTTTTTAATAGAAACTGTATAATTTTATAATTTATTATAAAAAAAATTAATATTCTTTATATAAAATATCTAATATTATTATTATAATATTTTATACTTATTCTCATTTTTTATTAGTAAGTAGATTTGTAAAAATGTATATTATTAAATAAATAGATACCATATATTTTAGAAAATAAAAATAATATGTTTTCTATTAAAAATGCAATATGTTACTTTTTTTTATTTATTGTATATATATAAAATATATTAAAAAATTTTAAAATAAAATTAATTATTATAGAAAAATAAATATATTATAATTTCTTTATTTGCTTATAATATATAATTTTACTTTACAAATTATACTCTTTTATTTATATTTTACTTATTAATTATTCTATTTTGCTTTATAATATTGCTTTTTATTTTTACTTTATATTTATCATTCCATTTTACTTTATAATATTAATATCTCTATTTATTTTATGATTTGTTTACTAGTTATTTTATAACTTTGTTAATCTTATTACTTTATAATTTACTTATTAGTTATTTTACAATTATTATTCTAGTTAATTTATAAAAATTAAAAAAAATCCTTTTGTATATTTAAGACCTTTTATATTAAAAAGTAAAGAATTTTTTATAATATAAACTAAAAAATACTCGATAATTAAAATAAAAACTAAAATATACTCAAAGTATATTTTTTAAATAAGTAATCCTTTGAGTAAAAAACTTTTAATATTATATAATAATAAATATTTTACAATTTTAAAATATATTATTTCTATTTATATCAGAAAAGTAAAGAACTTTTATTATAAAACAACAAATTTTTTAATACTAAAAACATACTTTAGAGTTTCAAAAAATATTATCTAATGTTTTTTATAAATAATTATAATTATTTTATTTTTAATTAAAGTAATATATATATATAATATTTTATATTTAATAAATAAAAATTTTTAATTTATAATAATAAATTTTATTTTATAATATTTAATATTTTTCAAACTATAAAATTTCATAGGCAAATTTGTCTGTTTATTTATTATAAATTCTCTTTTGATTTACTTTTATAAATAATTAAAATTTTTAAAATTTTTTTTTTTAAATTAATTTATAAATATACAGTATATAATATTATAGTAGCTTTATTTTTAAATTATATAATAAATAATTTAAAATTCCTTATAAGTTAAAATTTTTAATTTTTAAAAAATTTTATCATTAACCTTTGACAATCTTATTAATAATTACTTTTAGCAATATTAATCATAATAGAATATTATAAAATTTATTATAAAGAAAATTTTTAATTATTACAATTTTTATAATTTACTAAGGAATTTTATAACTTTTATAATGATTCAATTAGTTTACAAACATATAAATTTTAAGAAAATTTTTAAAAAAATTATTATAATAAATTTTAAAACTTAATTTTAAAAATTGAATTATTTAAAAAACTTCTTAATAAACCTAAAATTCTTGTAATAAAATTGATAAAATATATACTAAATTATATTTTTTATATGATAATTATATTATTAACATTAATATTTTATATTTATTAAAATTAATACTTTTTTATATTTGTAGGCAAATTTGTTTGCTTTACAATTTAAGGAATAAGTTTATATTTGATAGAATATTTTTAACTTCATATAAAATATATAAATATATGAGTATATAGCTCAAAGTTAAAATTAAATATAAGGTAAGATTAATTATAAAGATTAATATTATATTATATATGCTTTACAATTTTAATTTTTATTAAATTTAATAAAGATTTATTATAAAGAGTTATTTTCTTTTAACTAACTTTTATTTACAAAATTAATAACTTAAAAAGATCTTTTAAAACATTTTATTAAAGATATTATTATAATCTTAATATTTCATAAATCAAAAATCATATATAGAAAATTTACTTTAATAAAATATTTAAGCAAAATTATAAAAATCTTAAAGTTAAAAATATAGTAAAATCTTAATTTTAATTATAAAATAAAAATTTAAAAATATAATATATTTTAAATAAATAAATAAATATATATATAAATATATAAATATATATTATTTTCTAATTGCTAAATTAACTAATTTTATTTTTTTTGTATTTGATTAGTTAATAATAAAAACATGAATAATATATTTTTAAAAATTAAGATATATATTATTTGTATGTATTAAGCTCAAACATTATTACTTTAAAATAGCGTAAGTAAATTGATTTTCAAATGTTAAAATAAAGTAATAAAAATCTATTATGTCATTGTCAAAGAAGAGATAAACTTATCGAAATATCTTGTATGGAAATCTTACCTAGATATGATAATAATTATATTACGTTGAGAGAATTTGATTTTTAACACTTTTTAGATGCTGGCAATATTTAATTCATTTCATTTAAGGTTCGTGATTTAGTCGTTTCGGTTACAATTCTTGTAGATCACACGGCCACCATGTAATACATGAATCAGTTAATCCCGAACTTTCATTCGATGCACGATTTTTCCAATGAATTACTGACTCTAATGTTGGTCCTGCCGTAAAATTCATAAAAAATGCTCTCCCCTCCAGATTTAATATTCCGGATCCTATACTGTAACCTCTTGATCTCCTTTCCTTTGGATGTTTTGCTATTATGACCAATTTGTTTGCATATCTTAGACTCCTCCAAAATACTATTGATTCTCTTGACTTTACGTTATATTCCTTGTGAACAAGTTGCACACAAAACCAACGCATATCACATAATACATTGAAGAGTTATTGGATGATAAAGTTCGCTTTATTGGTCTTCGATCCCATCTCAAAAATGTGATCGCTCAATCATTAGGACATATGTGACGACTAACCAATGCTACCAATCCTGACATTTCCAATATCTACAATATCGACAATAATAATGTATAATATCGAAAATTCACATAGTCATGACGGTCTGATAATTATATTATATTATTCAAGTTTCTATTTCTAGTTTCTAGATGGTTTCTTGAATAATATCGGACAATATATGCTATTACAGGAAAATACAGTTAATAATTCGTCGGTGAGCGCTTGCTAACAATAAAAACAATACACGTACCTGTTGATCATGCATGCCATGTTCATCAGATCTTTCAATTCTGATGAACTTTACCATAACACCATACACAAGCCATATATGACACCAAATGGTTTTCGCTTTATAAATAGAATTATGCTTATCATTAAAAAATGATTGTCATAAGGAAATCAACTGTCGATCTATTTAGATAAACATTTGAATATAGGGTCGCGTACGTTGCCTAGGATTTAAATGAAAAATTTGTGCGGAATTAGCATTTCTTGACGATGCTATGGGGACATTACATAAATTAAATTAAAATGTGCGGAAATTTAAAATGTTGTGCGTGAGCATATTCCACAAATATTCGTGATTTGCGGGAAGTAAAGGTCGTACATTTTTTAAACACCGGTCGCATATACGCAAAGATTCACAAATTAACAAGATAAAGGATTAAAGAGTAAAGAATATGTAACTCACGTAAAATTCCCGCACGAAATCTAAAATAAACTAGAAATCTATTAATCATACTACTCATATTAAATCAGTATAATTTCGTGTTTGTATAATCAAGATTTGCATGAAATAAAACGCGTTACCTATGCTAGAGAATGTATCGCTTCGTACGCGTATTAAATTTTAACTACGCCAATCTCGTGATTAGCGATAAAATGGATAACACGGCAATGATCCATCACTGTCATCTTTTTGGTAAAATACATAACGGCACTTTCTTGTTTATGTTAATTTGGTGAAATTTAATTAAGTGCATCGGGAATTCAACGCCACTTATAGATAAAAGGAAGAAACTACAGTTGTAAAGGTGCACTAAAAATGGTATGATATGCCAATGTATCTGTGGTGTGAAATCTTATTTACAATAAACAACTTGAATATTGTTTTTACCATTCAATCACTAACCTTATTACTATAGATTATCATTATTAAATTTAAATAACATTTGATATTTGAGAACTCAAAACGACATTTAAGGACAACAAAATATGCATGTTCTTTTGATTATATTGTTCTTGTTATTATGAGAGGATTTGTTTTGAATAAATAATTGTACAGCAATAATCCAATAAAAACAAAAGTACAGGTTAAAGAAATCTTTGTTACCAAAAAAATGTTCCAGAATTAAAAAAAAAATGATGGGAATAAATGAAAAGAAAATTTAACAAGGGGGAATGTAATAAATAGTGTATCGTGATACTATAATCAAAATTCAAATTAAAAAATTTATTTTGTGTCGAAAATTTTATATCAAATATAGAAGATCACGTTCAAAGTTTGAATTTCAAACTTTAAAAATAATTTTAGAATTTATTTAACCACTCTCCAATTCAATTTATTATTTTTTTTTTTTATAAAAAAAAAAAACATTCTAAAAATAAATATAGAAGGTTGTATGGGAGGGAGGATCATTACATTAAAATTTTTTTTTTTTTGTTTGTACTTCACTTATAGGCATAATTGGTTAGCATCGACAAAAGTAACCTGTATTTAACTCAATTAAACTAAAAATTTTTGAGGATGTTATAAAAATATTCTAAAATGAAATGGTAACTTTTCTTTTTTGCATTTTTTATATTAGTAAAATTGGAAGTGATTTGGACGATCAAAAATAATAATTGTTAATTTTTAGCTTTGTAACGTGACTCACGCGTTACACGCCACTTTGTCATACGAGATCCAAAATAATAAGCCTTTCTATTCCTTATACCAAGAAATTAAATGCAAATGGTTATAGATGGGATATCAAAACAATTAGGCCTAAATAAAACCATTGAAATTAATAAAGTTAAACTCAACGTGAATAAATTTAATATAAGAGAAATATATATATGTATTTATAATTATAATTAATATTTTATTTTATATATAATTCATTACATAATAAATGATACAACGGGTTCATATAATATTTAATAAATAAATTTAAAATTCCCACTATTCCCACCGAATTTGAACAAAAAGTACGTAAAGTTAAAGCTTAAGAAATAAAGAAATATAAAAACATAAATCAAAAGAATAAAATTAATAAAAAAAAATAAGTAAATAAGCAATCTACTAAAAATTGCAAAAAAGACAAAATAAAATAAAAATGAGTGTGAAATTCAATGGGAATAATTGGAATTAAAATTTGTTCTTATGTATAAGACGCGTCTTAATTCCTAAGCATAGATTTCACTCGAGTTAAAATCGAATTTTTTTTAAAAAAAAAGGATTGACACAGGTTTTACAAATTTCTGATTCATGACTTAATGAAAGAGTTGAGGTAATAACCAATTGAGCATTCTTCAAATTCTCGAAAATATCTATCAAGCTCAGGTGATATATTAACCCCCGGAAAGAATAAATTATCCTCGGGCAAACAGGGATCTACCAAAAAAGGATCGTTTTGCGGTTGTTCACGATTAGGTGAATCTGAAATCGAGGAATTCGGTGATAATGGTGATAATGGAGTGGGAGAGGAAGGGACAGAGGTATGAATTTCTTTAAAAAATTGATTCACTGTAAAAGTGGACATACAAAGTCCTTGGTCTTCCTGGACCGGAACGTAAGGTTTGAAGGTGGTACGTTTCTTAGGAGAAAATTTATAGTTCGGAAACATCTCACTATGGAGATGTTGCGCTTGAAGGGCTAAGTTATCGTACAGGTCTTTGACATCCTGGGGGATGTCGTGCCAAATTAATTTGGCTTGTCGACAGACGTCTGGCATTGCAAAGCGATACCCGAGCATACGCAGCTCGAGCATCAAGCAGTTTTTCATCAAAAAGAAACTATTGGGAGGCCGGGGCGGCCGTGATAATCTAGAACCAAATGGGTTTCTCCTGGTCGAAATCAAATCTATTAAGTGGAATCTTGGCCTATAAATATTCCACAGATTTAAGTTATGCGGTATTTCTTTATGTTGTGTTTTCATTATTTTATAAAAAAAAAAAGGAAGGAGGGGGGGGGGGATTTTCTCTTTTAAATATGTAGAAAAACAAAGGAGGAGATTATGTTTTGAATGAAAGTGAAAGAATTAATTTTTCATTAGTTTGCTTTTTGCTATTTATTACTTATGAGGAAATTCGGAAATTAAGTCCTATTTATGTTGAAAATCAATGAAATCCATACAACATAACTTTTTTTTAATGTTAATGTAATTTATAATAATATATTTGGCGTTAAAAGCAAAAAAAAAAAAATTCGTGTAATCTATAGAAATGTTCTGAAAATAGTATAATAATAGATTATATTTTTAATCTAAATTAATATAATTTAATTATATTGGATTTACGGAGATCATCAAATCATCAAATCATCAAATGCGACTAGATTTTGTACATGTTTGTTTATGTCTTTCAAACCTTTTCGTGAAAAAATTTTTTCATGTGCTATAAAGCACGCTAATCCTTCCTCTATTTCCATTGTCAAACCTAAATTTGCGGAAAATCGGGAAATACGCAAATTAAAATTATCTCCAAATAAATAAATTGTAAAGGCATGTTATGTTTTTCACTGATGTGCAGACAAAGGTCATCTTTATTACCACGAAAGAAAGCCTTCATCGATTGCACAATGGTTGTGATAAAGATCAAAAGATCGTGTAGAATTCTTTGATTGATTAGAGAAAAAATGTCTTTATTTCAGTAAGTACCAGCTCTTTGAATTCATTTATATCTTTTTTTTATGTTGTCATACATTATTAACCTCTTATGCCCGTCATCGTGCCAGCACGTAGGGATGAGCTAATGAATAATCGGGCAGTCATCATCGCAAGGGGGAAGTTACTGTGATCTTTATGCCGATCCCAATCACGGATTATTAATTCCATTACTCCAGTTAATTGTCGAGAATTTGTCAAATGTTAGCATAACAAAGAAACTTCGACGACTTAACCAACAAGATTATCTTCTCCTTTCAAAAGAAAAAAAATTTTTTTTTTTTACGTAATACGTATTGTAATGTCCAGTTACCCACCCTCGCCCATAGAACCAAATGAGCTCTTTTAATAGAATCGTTCGATAGTTACCGAAAATATAAAAAGAAAGATAGGTGCCAATCCAAATTCAGAATATCAAAAGTGCACAGACATGTTTATGCATCGGTAAGCTCAAAATAAAATAAACGTGACATTAACACGTGCGACGAGACTCTAAAGGAATTCTATTAAACATTAAGTTGTAAGTTTACATTTCAGTAACAACAATGGAAAGGTACATTCTACGCAGAACGGAAATTATGTTTGAAAGTTTATGATCAATTCAATAAAGAGGGAAACTCACTGTTTTTTTAAATATCACAATCATAAGAAACATCTATTTCATTATTATTTTCATTTATTTGGTCAAGTCCTAGTTTTTTTTTGTTTTGGATACATAGGATGTACTTCTTGCTGAAGCTGCGGCATTATAGTATAGAATTCCGAGTCCAATGACAGAAACGATAATTGCTTTTTCTAAATTACCGATTTCAGACATTCCATAAAAAGAATTTATGTTTATCAAATGTACAAAGAATTTTGAATTTCTTGAAAACATTTCCAGAGTAAATCTAAACTGTTTCAACAATAAATGATAACATCAACATATTTTTTTTTGGGGAAGATTAAATTATCGCAAGTACCCACGCCACGTAATAAACGTTACTCATTTGATCGTTTGATTTATCGGAATTCAGGATTCCGTTATCGCCGCGGTAAAAATAACATCAAAGCCAAACTTATTGGTTATACTATTCTTTCAAAAATCTTTCTTGAAAATGTAACAAACAATTGATTTATAAATAACGTGTATCGGAATTTTGGAATTTTAAATCGCTATTATGAGATATTTGATCAAATTAGCTCCTATAGTGAAATGCTAATCAGAATGAACGCAAACATGGAAATGACTAATATCTTTCATGATTTCATTTTCCATACATTCATAAACACCATATTTATTAATTATGTGTCTTTATCTTCATTGTTTATATATTTCCTAGAATGAATTAAACAATAAACTTATCGATTAACGGCTTGCTTTGTCAATCAAGTTGCACAAGTTATATACCATACAGATTGCATTTTGTGGATAGTTTGCTTTAAAATGATATATTCCCAGCTCTTTTAAGGCATTAGATAAACGATCATCACAGAATGTAATTATTGTGTCCACGGCCGGATTTTAAGGTTGGCCGTGACTGGCCATATAAGAAAAATTTCAAATTTACTTTTGTTTTTTTAAACAATCCTTTTCCGTGATCTCGCATAGATAAAAAGTAATTTGCGTTGAGACATCTCTTTTTTTTTTTTTTTCTTTTTTTTAAAAAAAAAGAAAAAAGGCTTAGATTAAATAAGCAAATTATATAATTATATAATGCATAACACAACAAATAAATAATTGATTAAGTATATGGGCGTGAAGTCCGCCTTTTTTTTTGGCTACCGCAAAGTACAGATTTTGTGCTTATTGTTATATGGAATTAAAGTACTTCAAAGAATTTGTACTATATTGTAATAAAATTAACCTAATTTCACGCCAAATTCTGCTTCCGTAATAAGGAACTTGTACCATATGATTAAATTTGATTGGTAATTCTCGGCCAAATCGAACCATGATCTAGTAATACCTTTGTTTTTCAATTTTATAAAATAGGTGAAACATACCACTTTTTTTTTAAAAGGAACAAAATAAATAAATATATAGTGGTCTGTTCAGTTTGTGATTGGTATATATGATAAATCGGGTTTTCACCTTTGCTTTAATTTTCATTTTTGGAAGGGATTTCTGTTAGAATATAATTTTTATTTATAGTGACAATTTCGAAACATTAAAAATAAAAACTAAAAAAAATGAATTGTTTGAAAGTAGGTTAAAGGAATACATTATAATTATTTTTGTTAAATATGGAACGCACAAAATCGAAATTCCTTAAGGATTTATTTCTAATAAACGTTAAGAATCTAGTAAACTTAGTTTAAGTTTATAATACTGCATAAGTAATGAATAAATCCATTCATAATATTTTAAAAATGTTTAAAGTTAAGTTTAATCAAAATTATATAAAAATTTAATTTGTCAAATAATAATAAAAAATATTTTTACTAATAAAATCAGTTCTCAAAAGTTTTTAGTTTTACTTATATTATAAATTTATTATTTAAAATTAAATATTATAAATAATTTAAATAATAATAATGATTTTTTATTAATATATTTATATTATATTTATTTATTTAATTAAGATATTCAAAATTATATAAGAATTTGTTATAATTAATGTAATAAATTTTAAAAAATTATATTATTTAAAACTTTATAAATTTATATAAAATTACAAATAATTATTTTTCTTAAAAAGGTAAGTAAATTTTATTAACTTTCTATCTAATAATATTTTTAAATTTAAGAATTGGTATTTTTTAAAAAAATTTATTTTATTTAAAATTATTAAATAATCTTTATTATCTAAAGCATAGCGAAAGACTATATAATTCTATAAATAGTAATACAAATGTTTTAAATTCTACTTGCTCAATAATTAAATCAATACTGATTGACTTTATAATTGCATAAAGTCTAATAAAACAAATACAGTGTGAATTTTTTTTAGTTAAGTTTGTTTCAGACTTAATAATAATTCCTGTTACCTAGTATTTAATTAAGAATATTATAAATTTATAATAATTTCTTTTTATATATAATTAAATTTATAAATATATAATTTATTATATTTTAAATTTTAAATTTTAATTATTTTTTTTATACTCTCAATTAAGATTAATTTTCAAAATTTTTTTATATTAAATTTATAATAATTTTTACTATATTATCTTTAGTAATTTTATAATTTTATTATTATTTAACTTTTTTTTAATAATAATTAATAAATGAATTTTTTTATATAATTTTTATAAACAGCTATTATATTATAGAAGGTGGATAAAAGTATTTGTACATCTTCATAAACGTGAATTAATACTAGTAAAATTATATGATCACAATAACAAATTGCGTTTACATGATACATAAGTATTTATTTATATTATAAAAATAAAAGAATAACAAATTTGTTTTTTTTAATAAATTTTCTTCTCTAAAAATCTAAAAAAAAATGGTAAAAACTAAAGAATTAACTGCAATGATTTTTTAAGTAAAAAATAATCTTCGTACATTATTTTGGCTAGCTCAAAGTTCCAATCTTAATCTAATTAAGAATCTTTGGACTGAAGTCAAGAAAAGTATTTAAGCTTATAAAAAATCTCTATCTAATCTTACTAATCTTGACTGATATGTTAAAAAGGCATAACAGAAAATTCTAAAGCATATTATTAAAAACTTAGTTGATAGTATGTCATAATGAATTTAAACGGTGATTATAGTAAATAGTAGCCTAATTAAGTACTAGTTACTTAGTACAAAATGTAGATATTAATCAGCTTTAAATAAAAAATTAATTGACTTTTTATTGTTATTACAAAAATATTTTAAGTTTTATATTAAGTGAAAAAGTGTGCGAATATTTTTGTCTACCCTCTGTAATATTAAAATTATATTTTATTTATTTAATAATATAAATATAATAATTTCTAATAAAATAATAAATGTATTATTTAATTATAATATTTAAAATATTATTTTATTTAAATAATAAATATATTAATTTAATTAAATAATAAAATATTATTTAAATTAAATAATAAAGATATAAAGTTTATAAATTATATAAAATTAATTATATAATAAATTATACTTTTAAATTAATCTGAAAATTTAAATTTTAATAATTTATAGTTTAATTTAAATTAAATTAATATTTTTAATTATTGTTCTACAAATCAATAATATAAAATGATTAATAATATATAATAAAATATAATATGCTTATAATTAAGAAAAAATTCTTTTTATAAATATTAAAATTATAATAAAAATATAATATCAATATTTAGTTACTTTGATTAAAAGATATAATACATTTTGAATTATACTATAAACCTTTATATGAGATTAATAAATTCTTAAACTTATAAAAAATAAAAATTATAAGACATTCCTTTTCATATCTTATTAATTATAGTATATATAATAATAATTTATACATTAAATTAGTAATAATTTCTTATAGTCATCATATAGGTTCTTTATAATAAAAAGGGAGAAAATTACCAAAAAATTTTTTTGAATTAATTTTAAAACTAAACTTATTTTATTAAAAAAATAATATTTAGTTTATAAAGTAAAAAAAAATTTTTTTTGGTAATTTTCTTCCTTTTTATTATAAAAAGCCTATATAATTTACTACAATTAGAATTTATTTATATAAGTAATGATATAATATCAAAGATTTATTTATAACTATTTATAGCAATTAATTTTATATATAATAAAATTTTTTAAATGTAAACTAAATATTCAGAACTAATTTGCTTAATTTTTTAAAAGTAATATATAATTTATTTTTTAAATTAATTTGTAAAAGAAAAATATTATTTATTTACTTATATAAAAATATATTAATACTTTTATTATTACATTTATATAAAATTTAAATAGTCTTTTTTTATATTATTTATAGATTTTTTACATTAAATTATAATTATATTTATCACAAATATATTATGATTATAATATGTAGCTTATTATCTTTTTCATTTATGATAAATAAGTTAATATAATTAGTTAAGATATTTTTAATAAATCTTATTAAAAAAGAAAACTCAATATATCAATTTTTTTAAAACTTTTATAAATTCTTAATTAATGTTAACCAATTTGTACTAAGCTTTGCAGATAAATTTTTCATTATATTTTTATTAAATACTATTGATATAAATGATATTTTATGCTAAATAGTTATAGAATTTTTATGTAAGCATTTGCTAATGTATAATCATTATTAGTAAGAATAACTAATAATATATGTTAATTAATTATTTCAAGAAATTTATTAAATATCTATATAAAATTATCTTCTATTATAAATGTATCAGTAAAATATATATTATATCTATAATTATAAAAATTAAATAGTATTTAAAAATGATTAATTTATAAGTATTATCAAATATTAAAATATTATTAAATCTTTTATAATTCATTTATTATTAAAAAAATTATAAATACTTTATATAAAAAATCAATAATTTATATTAACCATTTAATGATTACAAAATAAGATTTATATTAATTATATATTTAAATTATTATAATTATTAAAAAAAAGTACAAATATAAAAAACAATTATATTATTAAGATTTTTATTTTTATTCTTTGTTAATTAAATTTTATCTTCTAGGTCATATTCTTTTAACTTAAAATAATTAACTCAAAATATAATATTCTTTTTCAATTTTTTTTTATAATAAATTTTTTATTTTCTTTAGAAAATTTTTTAGAATTTTGATTTTAATAATATTTAAATATTTAACTTTTGATTTTATTAACAAATTTATCATAATTCTTGAAATATTATTAATTTAAAATTGATAAATTTAAATAAAAATTTAAACTTTAGATATAGTTTTAATGTTATAAATTTTACTATATAAATAGTATAGAAATCTTTTATCTAAAATTTTTATTATAATATGAAGATAATGAATAAAGTTAATAAAATATATTATAAATATTAATATATAAAAGGGTTTCTAGAAAAATCAGGTTTCAAGAAATTTTTGACTTAAATTAAAAATTTAATATATTTTAATCTAATAACATCAAAAATTAAAATACAATAAAAATTTCAATTTGTTAAATAATTTCCAAAACCTAATTTTTCTAGTAATTAACCCATATGGGGCTAAGCTATTAAAATCACCTTACGGAACTCACTATCTAAAATTGAGATTTTTGATTCATATTATTATATGATATATAAACTTTATTTAGTTAAATTTTTATAGTCAATTATCTTATTAACAAAGTAAGCAATTAGTTCAGGAGAAACCGTCTTAAATAAGGAGAACGGTTATACAATTCAAATTTTTTTTTATACATTTTATAGTACATTTTTGATGCTCTTTGTGTAATCTTTCTTTGCTATAAAACGTGACAAATGCATTAAACAAAATTTGAGTATTTGCACTACTCTGCAATATATTTTTTTAATCTCCATTAATTCTGCACCTTTATATTATTATTAGCTGTTAAAGATATATCTGAGACGAAGAAATGTACAGAATGCCAAACTGTTGAGTTGGCTAAATTTCGTTCATTAAAGGGAAAAAAATAGAAGGAAGTTAAGAATAATAATTTAGCAAAGGTAACATGAAATAAAGGCATTCTCTTATGTAATATATGCTATATGCATTTTGTAGAAAATCCTTTGAAAAAAAGGCTGTAAAAGAGTAAAAACCATAGATGAACAAGTTACAGATGAAAATATTACGACCGAGGAGGTAAATATAAAGGTTGATTTTACAGGAGCTATTAAGTCAATGGAAAAGATACTTTACGATAGAGAATATTACAAGAAAGAAAAATCCATATATTCATTCGATAAAATGCAAAGGATATTTCAAGAAATTGAACTAAGTTTGAATGATTTTTTTAACCAGCTCTATTTGGCAGTTTGACTACTTGAATGTAATAAATAAATGATAGACTATATGAA